TCCGCGACAAAGTGCATCTTCTCCATCTCCTGCGCACTTCGACTTGATGTACGGTCTTCGAATACGGTTTGATCCTCTTGTGGCCTTGATCGCCTTGATCTTCTTCATCATGATGCTTGGCAGTCTCGTATCCAGGATTTCCGCCGTTGCTGCCGCGGACGCCGTCAGCAACGCAATGTTGAGAAATACTGACGGGCGCCCCGCCGAAGCACGATTTCAGACGTTTCATCATCAGACGAGGAACCTGTAACACTTACCAGCTCGCCCGTGGCCCATGGGACCCCCCGATTTGGCAGCGCCCTTGGCTCAGGCTACGCGTTCATGCTCATCTCATCGCGCCCAAACCAGATCAGTTTTCGTTCAAACTGGATTCATGGATCTGCGCGTTGAGCGCGAGCCCCACAGCTCATCAGCGACGTCGCTGCCCAAGGTGATGCTGAGGTGCCGGCGGACGCGCCCAGCATTCATTGCGTGCTGCGCTTACGGGTTCAAGGGCACGATCAGGCGGAGCTCCTTCATCGAGCGCGCGTGCTTCTGCATCTATCTCAGTATGCGGCAGTACTGCATGCATCGCACCGTGCCACCGTCGCAATCAAGGAGTATTCATATCTATTGCACCGCGGTGAACAGCTCGGTCTGATCGGGTATTCCGGTCGCCTCACCGGGTAATCCAAATATAGCTTGCCTTATTCCTTTTTGCTATCTCTCAGCTGATCAGGCGCTCGAGCAGTCTATGGATGCGTTCGAATTACCGAAAGCACAGCGGTGTATGATGGGTGTTTTATCCGACATAGTTCAATCATCACATTCTGTTGGCCTGCGGCGCGGTGTGGAAAGTCTGAAATATGGGGCTCCGTGGAGTCCTCCATGATTCTTCCAAGGTGGACAAGGCGCTCAACTGCGATCGGCCTTACGCCTCGTCAACCGTCAGACATCTGGGAATTCTGTTTGGATCTATTTTTCTGCCAGCGCGGTCCTATGTTTATCGCGCATCGCGGTAGAAACGTCTATATAAGCGGATCTGCCGATACAATGAGCAAGGCAAACGGACATGCAAGATACAGGCGAGGCGGTCACGACAACTGGTATGTCTATCCCCTTTTTTCTGCCGTGGTACTCGACTGGCGGTCATATTCACTCGTTCCTTGACCACGCACAGAAGTAGTCACAGCAGACACATCCATTCATAGACAAGACGATAGCAACATCTATTGCGACCAGGAGATCTGCGAGTGCGCAAGTAAGTCTGTTTTTCTCTGTTGCTTTGAATGTTATTTAACTACACCTCGCAGCAGCCGTGCCATCTGATACGAATGAGCGCTGCGATCTAGCACTCCAGCTTCACCAGAAATTCTGCCAGAATAGCGATCTCGACGCCGCACAGCAGTGCATCGAGCAATACGAGGCGCTCCTATCGGAGACGAAGGAACCAATTTCCTTCAACTCTTCGATCCCAAATCCGGAGCCGCGCATCCCGCTTGATGCCGGTCCGAAGCTACATCACATTCTCATTAGGCTGGCTGATATATACAGGGATCGCTATAGGCACAATTACGAGCAATGCGATCTGGAGCTTGCGGTAAGATATGGGCAAGAAGCCCTGTCTATGTGCCGCACAGCTGGGATACGTTGCCTTACAGTACTGGGGCTCTTCGCCAGAATATTAGATCGCAACGCAGACGACGTTTCCCGGAAAGAAGATCGGATCGTTGCAGAGTCGCTCTGCAGAGAAGCCATCTCACTCTGCGCAACGGGAACCTACTTGGCAGCAACTGTTCGCCTTAATCTGGCATGGATTCTGGGGAGGTTATCCAGCGAAAACGGGCCTCGTACTTTGATCAACGAAGCAGTCGACATCCAGCGACAGGCCTTGGTTGACCTGCCTCCATCTCATTGTTACGATCAACATCGACACCTGCGATTCCTAGGGGTGTATCTACTCGACCGATACAAATATTTCGGAAGACCAGAAGATTTGGATGAATGCCTTGATGTTTACGCGCAGGCCGTGCACTTATGTCCAAAGATGCACATTGATCGATGCAGGACAGTAACTGGGATGCTCTGGACCCTATATCTGAAGACTTTGCGCTCTGGCTCTATCAATGAGCTCAACAAAGCGATCGAACTTGGACTGAACACTCTCAAAGAAGTCTCCGGTGCTGGACTGGGGCGCGTTGATACCCTCCGTGTGGTAGCAGCTCTTCTCGACTTTCGCCATCAGCTCGCTCCATCCGATGGGCGCGACCTCGAAAAGTCAGTCACTCTGAACCGGGAAGCGTTGCAACAATTCCCTCCCAACCACACAGTCTATTGGATGTACGTGAACAGCTTGGCGCTCAAATTGTATTTGCAGTACAACTGGACTGGAGAGATAAGTTGTCTCGAAGAATCTATTCAACTCGGGCGTTCTTCAATCGATTCAATGCCAACTACCCACGCTCATCGATCCGTTCCCGCTCGCGATCTGGCGCATTCACTGATGCTCCGCTTCAACGAGACAAGGCGGATCTCTGATCTCGATGAAGCCATCAAATGGGATCGTAGGGCCCTGGCGAGCAGTGCGACCTCACATGTGTTCTATCCGGAGATTTCTGCTCAAGCTGTCTCCCGTCTTTGCATGTTATTTGACGCTCGGGGCTCATTCGAGGCTTTGGAAGAAGCGATTACCCTCGGCAACACCGTCCTGGATACGATGGCTTCCGATCATGCCGAACGCGGCGATGTTATCCTCGAGCTGTCAAAAGCTCTGTTACGCCGCGGGAGACATCAAGGGAATATCGCGGACATCGACCGATCCATCTCGGAGTTAGCACGTATCAAGGAAGTGATGCTTCAGCGAACAGAGGGCCCTAAACTTCTGAGCACCCTCGCCGACTGTCATATCGTCAGATTTCGCTTCAATCGCAGCGACAAAGACGCGAACGATGCCTTGGAGATTATCACTGGCTTGTTGGATACCCTGCACCCTGGCCGTCCCGAGAGGTTTCAATGCCTCGTAGATGCCGCAGAACTCCACATGGAGCTAGGAACATCTTATCGGAGTATCCAGGCTGCACTCTCGCAGTTAGCCGATGCTCTATCAGACGAACACCGGGACGTTCGTTCTCGGATTGAAGGAGCACGACGCATACTTGATATCGCGGTGTCGCAATATCAGGATATCGTCTCCGCTGAGGCCGCAGCACATCGCCAACTGCTGGATATCTTTGCTCTTGTGGTGGGACTTCTGCCCCGAGTGGCCTTCTTTGATCTTCATCTTCATACCCGGCTCCAGTCGTTGGCTATCGGCCAGAGCATCGCTCTCACCGGCGCATCTCACGCGCTCATCATCGGCTCATCTCAGAAAGCACTGGAAATCCTTGAGCAGGGCCGTGCGGTCTTCTGGACCCATGCACTACGCTTGCGCTCTCCATTCGAGGCAGCGCCCAAGGAGCTCAGAGACCGGTTGTCGATCCTCGCCCGACAGCTGGGAAAAGTACACGACAAATCTTCTACGGGCGAGAACTTGGGTGCCGTCGAAGCGGAGATCGCACGGAGAAGAGGTCAGATCGAAGAATTCAACGTGCTGCTCAACCAGGTCCGCAAACTACCTGGACTGGACAGATTCCTGCTGCACGACGAGTTTACGACGCTGAGAAAAGCCTCCGAGAGAGGACCGGTCGTAGTGTTGGTTTCCAGTGCGCTGGGTTGCCACGCTATCCTTCTCAAGCAGAGGGGCGACTGTGTAAGCATTCCTATCGAACATCTCCCTGATACTTGGCTCGCACATTCCGGCACGGAGTGGCGATCGATCATCGTGGAGGCTAGGGCGGAGATGCGCGACTGCAGAAAGATGGAAAAATCGAAAATCACGAAGACTCGAAGAGCGGGTGCCGAGGAGATCTTGCGCCAATTATGGATTGAGGTGGTGAGACCGGTGATCAAGGCGCTAGGGCTCGAAGTATGAGACAACCCTCTACATTATCGTGGCATAAGGCTCACCAGTTGCTTCTAGCCCTCCGAAGGTCGAAACCGTCCTCGCATATGGTGGTGCCCCACTGGAAACTTTGCTCACTTACCGATCCATGCAGCCGGTGCTGGCGGAGAGCGGTGCTCAGATTACGTCGTCTCCTCCTACATACCGACCCTCGGGTCCCTTCTTGCTGCCAGAAACGCGTATTCGCCCATCCTCAAGGACGACATGCAAGCGCTCGTCGCTGCAACGCCTCGGTCTAGCATATCGCAGTGGAGCGACCTCATCAACACTCGCGAAGAAGCGAGAGCGATCCGGGCGGTCTTACCAAGCGGGGCCATAATAGAGCTGCCTCCCGCAGACGACGCTTGCATTGAGGGCGGAAACGGGATCACGGCAGAGACGCTGCTAAAGCTGCTTCCACAGACGAATATCCTGCACCTCGCGTGCCATGGCCATCAAGATCTGGAGAATCCGTTGCAGAGCGGATTCATTCTGCGTGACGAGGAGCTCACGATCGAACGACTGATGCATGTACCCCTCCCTCGCGCGTTCATGGCATTCTTGAGTGCTTGCGAAACAGCCAAAGGTGACTTCGTGAGTACCAATACCAGTCGAAATCACGGTGCCACTGAACAACGTGCCCATGCAGAATCAGCCTGATCAGGTGGTCCATCTCGCGGCCGCCATGTTCTTCGCGGGATTCAAAAGCGTCATCGCTACGCTCTGGTCAGTCCCGGTTTGCAGCTTCGCACTTCTATGGTATCGACTTACAACCGACTGCAAAGGTCCATGGCGGACGCGGACGGGCCAGAGATAGCTCGATCTGTATACCAGAAGATATTTAGCAGCAAATTGAATCACATCGACCCCGATGATATCGCGTACGCCCTCGACGAGGCCGTCACGAAACTGCGAACCGTCCAGCCTGAGCCGCTCCGATGGGCACCGTATATACACCTAGGGATCTGAACATGCGCCAATATATGTCATTGGTTCGAAATGTACAACGGAGGAGGCCGTGAGTACAAGCCTACGATGAGCGATGCCGGTTGATCTGGACTCCGTCCTTGGCATGTACTCCTCTCCGAAGACGAGGTTTTCCACGACGTTCAACGGCCACAAAGATCTGGAGATCCCACTGAACAGCGGATCCATTCTGCGTGATGAGAAATTGACGATCGAACGACTCATGCTTGTACCGCTCCCGCCCGCGTTTATGGCATTCTTGAGCGCCTGCGAAACAGCCCAAGGGGACTTTGTGAGCGCCGACACCGCTTATCATCACGATGGTGCGACTCACCGACACGCCCATCCAGAAACAGCCTGATCAGGTAGTCCACCTCGCTGCTGCTATGTTTTTCGCAGGCTTCAAAAATATCGTCGCTACGCTCTGGTTTGTTTCGGTTTGGGGTGTCTCGGCTCTTTCATACCTACTCACCGTTATATTTCACAGGTCGATGACGGATGCAGACGGGCCGGAGATAGCTCGGTCTATATATCAGAACATATTCAGCAGCGAATCAGATCACATCGACCCCGACGATATCGCGTACGCCCTCGACGAGGCCATCACGAAACTGCGGATCGCGCAGCCTGAGCCTTTCAGATGGGAATCGTATGTACATATAGGGATTTGAAGACGCACCGATACGCGTCGTTGGCACGACAGAGACCCCGTTCGTGTATGCTCGTAATGAATGACTGGGGCTCATAACCGAACCTCCACATCCGACCAACCATCCGACTCATCATCCCGAATGATTGTTGTTCACGTCATCCGCGGGAGGCACCTCGACGTGCTCGATCACTACCGAGAATCGTCGCCTGCGACATCGGACGAGGGAGATGACATGACAGAGACGTCCGAATCCACCGGTCAGGGAGACAGGACATCTTCGTTAATGGCTGCAGTGTAGTGCAGTGCCGAGATGAGAGCCGATGCTTGAGTGGACGTATCTGCTGGATCGACTTGAGATTGGGACGTAGGCGTAAGGATTTCAGGGTCAACAGACGGTTGTAGAGTCTTTGATTGAAGAAGAGTCCGATAAGGGCGCCTGCGAGTCGGCGACAGAAACACGGAGGAATTTGACGGCTCAGACAGGTCCTCAGGTCCTTCAGGGGGTCCCGCGGAGACTTCGTCAGGCAAGCTGGCTCTGAGATATGATGGGGGTCGGAGTGAGGAGACATCGATGTCGAGGCTTCGGAAGGCACCGGCGACTTCTCTGGGCTTCTCCAGCGAGGGCAGCTCTTCGGTGGAAATGCCCGATG